ATCAGCTTAATATACCGTTGTTTATATATATCGTCGATATTATCTAATAGAAAATTACTATTTAGTACGCGTATCAAGTGCACGATGTAAACCAAGCCATTGACCTGGTTTACATCGTACATTTGATACTACTAAATCTACTTATACTATTGATACGATACTACTGATCGTACTAAATAGTAACTTTCTATTAGATAATCTTAATATCGACAATGCATATCAATGGCGACGTATTCAATCAATACAATACGTTTTGTTGATGAGTATTAAAGTGCCAATACATGGGAGCATCCCAGCGTCGAGCGTTAAAGCGTTAGCCAATCAACGTATCAGGTTCCAGAAGTATACTTGTAGTTCTTGCGAACAGTGGCACGTTAATTGGCCACCGCTTTAACGCTCGACGCTTGATGCTCCCATGTAAAGGCACCTTTATACCAGATTAATATATCGTTATTTATATATATCGTCGATATTAAGATTATCTAATAGAAAGTTACTACTTAGTACGCGTATCAAATGCACGATGTAAACTAAGCCAGTGGCGACTCGTAGCGAAGAGTTCGGAATTAATTAAAATAACGGGTCCAACCATGAGATGCGACAAATTCCTTTTTTTACTAGAAAAATATAAAAGATATGTTTGTGTGTGTATGATAAATCTGCGTCACATAATAGTTTTCCCTTTATTTTATTGGAGAATATCCATGTATAATTGTCGAATCCATAACTACAAAATTATAATTTTTTTAGTGGTTCAATAATGAACACACTAGAGCTGCAAGCAGATATAGATGTCACTGTTAGGCTGATATTTCACGTGTTGTACGACAAGCTTTTTGGATACGTTCATTGGTTGACGAATAGAGAACCTAGAAATACTTTATTCCTTTGACTATATAACCATGGACTGCTAGCCGCTAACTTGTGTCTGCAACAAAACGTCTGTCAACATCTGCAGCGCCGCCAGGATCAAACAACGGCTATTACGTAAACTATCACATACTTGCGATTTCTATTTTACCATGTGAAAGATATTTTGTGTGTGTCCGTGATTATAAGTTTTCAGTTAATAGTATATAGAAGTCTGTGATCCCGGCATGTCCGAAAGGACTCTATGAATAATCGATTCTCGATTCAGTACAGAAAAGAATCGATTTTCGATTAATCGACCATCCAAAGGATCGCAGAAAATAATTGAAGCATCGTCAAAAAAGAATCGATTCTCGAATCAGAAATCAGCGTCCCGATACTGATCAGGGGGTCGATTGTGTATTTCAAAACAGAGTGAAAATGACAAAAGTGAGCAAATTTACTAGAATATTTATAACTTCGTTAGTCAATGTCTAGTAATTTGCTCACTTTTGTAATTTTCATTCCATTTCGAGATACACAATCGACCTCCAGGGGTACTATTCCGTTCCCGTATACCGACAGTTGTCGAATCGGTAGGCGTCATTGCGCAGCTTTTTTATATCGTGGAAAAACTGCGCAACAACACCTACTGATCCGACATCTATCGGAACTACGGTAACGGAATAGCAACCCAGAATGGCATTCACATTTGTGCATTCGTGCTGTAAATGTTACCAGTGGATCTTAGGACGCAACTTTAACCTTTTAAGTATAGTGAGGTAAATTTCAACAAATATAACATTAATTACTATCTGTAATGGGACTTCTACAATAAACTATTAATTATAAGCCATACGCAAGTTAAACAACCATTTTTTGAAAATAATCAACTGTAATTGGTTAATTTGCTTATAGCTTATAAATAATAACTTAGGGCCGATTGTTTCAACTTATAAAAGGCTCCTTACATTTAGAGATCGTCTACAATACAGTCATAGTCATGTTTTAAAGTCATAGCACTAGTTTTTAAATCGATCATGTATTTATTTCCTTCGCATAAACTCGTAAAAAACGAAAAGTTTTCTTGACAAAAACAAGCAAGTTGTTTCCACGTCGAATCCACATGATTTACGTGAATTATGTGGATGTAAATTAATCCATGAGTTTTTACGTGAACACTAACATTTTAATATTATCAAATGGAAGTATTTTATTCTTGTAATATCAACATATTTTCTAATATACAAATAAAGTGCATTACAATGCAGATTAAACCTAGAAAGTTCGAAAGAAACAGAGTTCCGCATATTGGCTGCGTTCAGCAGAACTCAGCGCTTTGTAAACGGTTTAATGATACATTGCTGTGTTCTGCTGAACACTCTTTGGGGTCATATCAGCGCTATATATATATATATATATATATATATATATATATATATATATATATA